GGGAAATTGTGTATGCCATGAAAAATCCACTGGGCTGGCACATGAGATCTTCTACGCTAAGAGCAGATACAATGTCATCAATCATTTGAATTTTTAAGACAAATTACTATATGGATCCTCTGCGGAACAAGACAATAGATGGACCTGGAATAAAAAGTACTCCAGGGAAACAAGCAAAGGAAGGTTGTCTTGTGGTTTGCAAGTTAGTTTATTTAGTTCTTTACTCTGAAAGCAGAGACTACATTTTTATCTCTGGAAAAAAATCTATGGCTCTAATGTAGCACAGTCTTGTGTGATTAATGGCATATTTCTTCTCCACTGAAAAGGAGAATGCCTTCTGTAGCATTGCTTTAGGAATACAGACTTACCTACAGGCTCGCTGGGGATGGCTTCATGAAGAAATGAGGAAAGAGTATTTCAGCAGAAACACTGCAGCTTTTTCAGTGCTATCCCAATGCAACTAGTCACAAGCCTAATCCACTAATTGAAGGGTCTGGTTTATCTGCCTTGGAAGGAAAACTGCAATTGTAAATGCTGAGTAAAGATTGAAGGAATACGCTCAAGGTAAGTTTGAAAATCAGAACCATCTCCATTCTGCAAAGCCTATGCTTCAAGGAAATCACGGTTGAATATGCAATCAGAAGCTGAAGTCCAGTGATAATGACCAACGTGATTGCTTAGCTACCATGTCCCTAATGGTCCCTAAGCACCTAGGGGAAAAGAGGGAAAGCTGGGAGCACAATGTTCAGGTTTCCAGGACTAGTGAACAGCAAGTAAGGTAACGGAATGTGCGTAAACGTTTTAGACTTTGTATGGAGAATATTTTAATAAAGGATCAAAATGTTCTTGGCTTTTGCCAGTCCTGCTTTGAGTAATTCTGCTGTGTCCTGCCTCGCTCCTGGCAACCATCTCCTTGCTCTTTTATAACATTATTTTCCTATCACTTTCTGCCTAGTGAATTGTATAAGCCTGCTGCAGACATACAGGCTGCCCTTCCCTCAGCTCCCTGTATGTGACTGTATCACGCTAAACCAGTATGCCACCTTGCTGTTCAACAGCCCATTCCTCTTTCAACTGATTTAAAATCAACTTGTCTTTTAGTCGCCTTTAAAAGTTACTGACCTATCAGAAGCAAATTCTATGGTGGTGTTTGCACTGTTGCTCTGGCCTGGTCCAGCCTCATCTGAACGTGCAGCTTGAGTACTCCTTAAACTGGCCTTGGTATTCTAACGGAAGACCCAAGGTAAAAGCTCTGACCTCAAACCTGAGCCTTTGGATTGATTGTGCTTGGCTCATGTCCAGCCACTGCTCCTATTATGGTGAAATCTGGTTAATTAGTCCCTGAAATAACTTCCCTATGCTGTTATTAGTCACCATGAATCCTTCAAAGTCCCAGTGATTTGCATGCAGTATTTTGGCTGTTTCCTCAGCTGTTAAAAGTGCAATTAGTAGATTCTGAATATGCAACTTTTATTGCAATGGAACTTGCTCCTGATAAACTAGTAACATTTAAAGGGATTAAGTCTTTCATAACCTGTCAAGACTGGCTGAAGCTTGCAAAGATTTGGATACTCTTCAGCTGGTTTTGGTTCAACAAGGCACAGGTGACTGACTAACAGACTTCCATTTTACAGAAATCTATTTTGGAGATGAATGAATGGATGTACAGGGCAAAGCAAAGATCTGTGGTTATTTTACTTCCTTTATAAGCATGTAGTCCTCATATACAGTGAGCACCCTTTAGTTTTGTAGTGGGGAAACAGCATGAGGCATCAATATAATCATGCAGTTCTCAAATAAGTCAGCACACAGCTCTGAACAGGAATCGGAGGATAACCCCCGTTATCTTTCCTGTTTGGTGCAGGGGGCTGGACCTAATGATCTTCCAAGGTCCCTTCTGGCCTTACAATCTATGAATCTGTAATATTCCTTCATTACAAAGATCAGAAATCACACTATCCTGCCTTCATGGTGCACAAAGTACTCTCAAAGTTGAAAGTGGTTAATTACTGGTAATTAGGAATTTTTAAATTTTTTTTTTTTTAGGCATCACTACAAATCCCTCCAGGGCAATGAATTTAACTAGATTTTAATTAGCACTCACTCCCCTGCTGCTTTCTGCTCACTTCTCTGCCTCCCCCTCTGCCCCATGGGGACATTTACTGTATGGGAAGTGTTTCTATGGCCCCTATTTCTGCTGAGAGGGCTGATCCAAAGAGGAAGGTCTGAATTCCCCCTCCCACATGCTGCTGCTATACAGTGGTCCAGAAAGATTTTATGCCAAGCTTTCTGCTTTTCCCCGCGAGGCCTTGCATTGGCTGAAGGAATCATTGGAAAAACAATGTTTGTCAACCTGGAAGGAGTCCAGAGGACTCTTAGCAGATTTAAAATAAGCAAAAGGAAATGCGTTTTTTTTTCTTTTCATGCAGGGTAGGATTAACTCGTGGAACTCATTGGCACAAGGTTTTGGAAAGGCTGATAATTTAACTTGTTTTAAAAAGGGATTGGCCAAATTCATGCAGGAAATGTCCACCAAAGGGTATTAAATCTGATAATGGTGTAACTTCCAGCTTAGGACTCTATAGACCCCTGGAAGCTGTAGGAGAAGAGGGGCAGAGTAGAGATTAGTTTGTCTAGGTCCTGCATAAATATCTTTTTCCCTTAGGGATCCATTCTTTGCCACTGAGGTACAGGCTATTGGGATAGATGGACTTGTGGTATGACATGATGTGGCATTTATTACGTTCTTTAAGGAGAGCAACAAAAATTATTAGAGGTCTAGTAAACATGACATACAAGGAAAGGTGAAAGACCTGGCACTTCAATCTGGAGAAGGAAAGGATGGGAGATCTGATAAATCTTCAAATACATTACTATCCACTTTGTAACAAGCTATTTTGTATTACATACTCTATACAGGAGGCAGGGCAAGAGGTAATATTCTTAAATTGTAACGAGGAAAATGTAGGTTGGATATTAGGTAGAACTATCTATGGGGTTGTTGAAGCACTAGAACAAACTATCTTGGGACTGTGCTGCTGTAAGCATTTTAAGTACAACTCCTATGTGGAGTGGTTTAGATGGGGCAGATGCTGCCCTGAACCATCTGAAATCCCTTCCAGCTGTATTCTTGCATGATTCTACCTATTTTGCTATATTATCAACTGTACAAAAATAACGCTAAAGGAATATATCTAAACAAGTAGTACGGGCATAGAACATGGGACAAGAGTATTTAAATTACACAGTAGCTTGTGATATATTTTTGGTGGTGACAAAACTTAGAGACATGAAACCACAAGTATCCAAAGTCTAAAATAAAACCAATTCTAGAACTACATTTATGGATGCTCTGTTGGAAACTGCACCTACAAATGTTTCTCCAGAGGAAAGTTACTCAAATCCACTGCCTGCAGAAAGACAGAGAACTGCAATATAGTACCGTGGATTTTTCCAAAGATTGCCCAGAACTGGAAGGCCACAATCTAGTGACAGACCATCTCACAAATTATATACAAGAACAAAGGAGTATAAAATCAATATTAATGCTAAATGTAAATATTTAATGTAAACTTCACTCTGTTTCTTGGACTGGTAATGCTTGAATAAAACCATCTTGTTGGGTTTTTTGAAGTTTGTGTCGTTCTTTCTTACAAATATTTAACCTGGATTGAAAAATAGAAAGAGAACATGATCTAGTAGCTAAGATATTGGTGATTCTGCTTTGGAGTAGAAGTGGGTTCTTGGAAAAGAAACTTTTAGGCCTTCCTTTTAAGGGGAGAACATGAGAGCTGTGTGAGAGGGGACATCCCTGAGGATGCAGCAGGATCCCCTGAACCCTCTCTCCTGCCCTCCCCTAACACCCCTTGAGCATCTAGGGCTGGAAGTTCCACCTCTGCTCCTGGTGCTGCTTACCAAGATGTTCCCTTGTTTCCTCCTGGGCTAAGTACAGACACTTGGGAAGGTGAATTGGGTTCAAAATGGCCTCCCAATTTAAACTTAACTTGTCCCGGTGCAGACCTGGTCTCAGTGACTGGAAATCAATCTAAACCAAAGCTACGCACACAAACTGGTCTAAATTGCAGAACCTGGTTTAATATAAACCTGGATCAAAGTAGCATCAAACTTGCATGATTTAGGTCCAACCAATGCATAGAACTTCTGTACACTTTTCCTGCACAGCCCCAGGGCTGGGAAAACCCAGCTGCCAGCCCTAGCCCTAGGGCTGCACCAGCCCTACAAGCCACTCCAGGTGCTGTGCTGCTGCCAGAGCTGAGCAAGTAAGTCCCAATAGGAGGGATGGGGACG